TCAAACGCGCCTTCCAGCCATGAGAGCACCAGAGTCACACGCCACGAGACTGAACGCACCTATCCTCGGGCCACCATGACACCCTATCATACCACGCTTTACTACACCCCTGCAATACGCCAACCCGCCTACCAAACACTCCCAGGGCAAACAAGCGCCAAGAGATCACGGCTGATGACCCACCAGCCACGCCACTGTCTGCCAGCAGCGCCGGCGCATCAACCACCACCACACAAAACACGCCCAGGTATGATTGCACCTCCTGCTGCTAAGCCTGTCCAACCGCCACCCCTTAGCCAACTTGATGCAATAGAACTTCGAATGCACCATGTGCATCTACACGACTCAACCTGCTCACAGTCGTTCTTTTGCCAAAAGCATAATGTGGCAACTGCTCATGCCTTCCAAATCCTGCACATGAGTCACCACCTCTTGACGCATCCCATTACCAAACGGACACACCCACGCAGCACACTGCGGCCCGATATCAGCATGGTGCTCGCCGCAACCGCGGGATCAGAGGACCTGCCAAACAGGCTCCACCGTATGAAGCGCTTGAAAAAGGGTACGCTGTACAAGGCTATCTTTGGATGGGAGCACAAGGGCTTCAACAACGACCTGCCACTCCCAGCCAGCCGCATCGTCATCATTCTTATCGATGATGAGCGCCTCAAGGACATCCTCAACCGCTTCGACAACTACTTTGGACGGGCGGTAAGTCCATGGGATGGACGACAGCTACATCGAGTTCTTTTTGTGGTGCTTCACAGGGCTCGCCACTCACACGGTTGCATACCTGTATCCAGTGCGACGTTCATTGAGGCGGCACATACCTTGTGCACCGAAACTAATTGGAAGATATCCAGCCTAGATATTTCCACCTGCACATCCACTTCCCCCTTACGTCCGTCGTCCGTCTTCCTTCCATCCCCTTACACCACCTCGCAGTTGTCTTTCTACAATGTCATCCGCTTGGATAACGACCGCACATACGCGGACCTCCTCGACAACCTCGGCAGCACTGCTAAAGTCGTTTACAGCATGGTCCCCACCACCCAATGGAAACTTATCGATCCCCCCTACCTCCCCATGGCCATAATTGTCCCATCCACTGTCCGCCTCTTCACGGTAGACCCATACACTGACTCCTCCGTGAACGACAAATACCCGGACGCCAAGCAACAGCGTACACTCCTTGTGTACCCAACGTCCGGCATCATCAGTCGCGGCTCCATAACCTACATGGATGCCTACGTGGTGGCGACACGTGCAAACAGCCAGATCAACGCCGAGCCCTTTAAAAACCTCGAACTCGGCGCTGTTGAGCTGCTCATCTCCTCCACCAACTCCTTACCCGTGCCGCCGCTCGTCGCCAAACAGCTCACTGAAGCTGCAGCCGCCAAACAACTCCTCGCTCTTCACGGCATCGTTGTGACCCGCAGCAACACGGCAACACCGACCATGAAAACGTCCATATGGCTCAGCGGCCTTGTTATCACGCGCCTCGACCCAACAGCCAAGTATGTCACAGCACTCACAGCTGCCGTCAACTCCAGGAGCAGGGAGCTCCGCAGAACCGACGTCTTGATGGCAGGCGCCTGGGACAACCGGAACCCCGCCAACGCCACCCACACCCAGAAGGTATACCTTGCGGCTCGACTTCACCTGATCCCGTCGGAGAACCCCACCATCGGTGAGACCGCAACACCCGTCATCCCGGTTTTCGTTAACCCAGCGGGAATGGCGGACGGCTTCCCTGCATGCATTGTCCGGGATGAGCACGTCCAGCTCATCCCAGACCTCGATAACTTTATCACCACCCCACTCGCCGACACCACGCCGGACGACATCACCTCCGCCTGCGAAGCCGTCAACGCAGCTTTCACGGCAGATCTGCATGTAAAGCTGCAGGGCACGGATCTGGCCATTGCGAGCCTTGAGAACGTCCGCATGATCGTTACCACACGCTGAGACTGCGAACCTAGAAGTGTTTGTGTTCTTTCACATCTGCATATCAAATTGAGGCTCAATCTTCGATTTAAAGTTATCGCATGCCTGCTGTTGTGTGATTGTGCATCTTCTTACATGGCAGCCCGCGGTGAGGAACCGCCTCTCGTTGCTGTTGGATACCAGACGTGAACCATAGGGTTTTGGGTTTAGAGTTTAGGGTGACAGACTGGAACTGTACTCATGCATCATGGGGATGCGACACAGCCCCATGTATGCACTTCAGTGAGGCGGTGAGGACAGGCACCCGCCCAGAGAGTGGCAATAGCTGGGTTCTGCTCATAACGACCATCAAATGCAGGATCGTCCGTGCAGACTGCTGTTCCTCCGCTGCTGACGATGCTGCCACCGTGGTGATTTCATGCAATTAGTCTCATGTGAGCCTAGGCGGCATTATTCACTTCGCCGCTCACAATCCACAACATTCGTTGTGCCGTGCTGCTATCAGGGCCCTTCATCGATTGCTGTTATGGGTCGTTGCTGTTACGGCACTGCTGGCTGTGGCTTGCTGCTAAGCCTCCCTCCATCACAGATGTAATGTTACTGAGTCCTCGCCTCTGCTTCCCCACATTATTACCGTTCTCACCTACGCACCACACAGCACCTTACGCACCACACACCCACAGCTGGCCTGGGAGTCGAAGCTACGGTCCCCTTCGCGGCACGCCGCGGTCCACTTCGCGGCGTGCCGCGGTAGGCTGCGGGGCGCGTCCGTGTCTGTCTGTGTCCCTTTTGGTAACTTGCCGTCGCCGTAGCTCATATGTTATGAGCGGAGGCCTATGCCGAGTTCGCTGTCCGTCCGCTGTCCGTCTGCTGTCCGGTTGTCTGTCCGGAGCGTTTTGGAAATTCCGGGTCGGGAGCGTGCCGTACGTGCTAAAGACCGCCCCGGAAAGAATGCGAGGTCGCAGGTTCGATCCCCACATCCTATGTTCAAATGCATGTTCATGTTTTCGCGTAATTCTTCTGAACGTTCCGTTTAATTGTGAATGCGAGTTAAATCCGGCGCGAAAATCCAGGTGACAGCAGAACTGCCTGCGCTGCTGCGCGCTATGTCAAGCTTTTTCGTGACTGACGAGGAAACACTTAGTGATTCGCGGGAACGTTTGGACATCGTTGTACACTATTTGTTTGTATAGTGTAGAGTTGGTGTTTTGTGATATATTGAGGTTGTAACGACCTTTTATAATAACTTTGTATGTGTAGATTTATAACCTTGTTGTGATTTACCTTGTTCGTATATTGCGATCGAACCTTAATTCGGACGTCAAATTTGGCCAACCTTGAGCAAATTTCGCTTTGGACAAGTTTTGGAGGCATCTGATCGCTGTGGCGGTGATAACGTGACCTTTTAGGAAATTTATATTTTATATATACATAGAAACACAGCTGTTACTCCGTTGCGTTTACCAATGTGACCGTTATTTGTTGCATACATGCGAAGGGCGGACCACGTTGGATGATGTCAGTTTACGTGTCAGACATTTTGTAATGTAAAATAGTTGAGGCACAGAGGTGAACGTTTAGTAGAAAGCTTAACATGCATAGGTGAACATGTAAATTTCGGTGCGGAAGAATTAAATACGCAAAGTGTAACGCATACAAAGTTCAAAATGCAAAGTTCAGTGCACAGAGTTGGATAAAGTTATACGCATGAAATTATAGGCAAAGTTGCGGGCACGGTTATGGTTGCAGTTATGGTTGGTTTATATATATAGTGTTCCCTAGTGTTCCCACGTGAATTTGCACGTTTGACTTTGTACGTTTAGCTTCGTGGGTTTAATTTTGCCTATTGAATTTTACTGGCTGAAAATTCTATGTTCGAGTTTGTATGTGTTGAAGTGTTTTGTATGTGTTGAAGTGTTCGTGTTGATCTTTGTGTGTTAAACTTTGATCGTTTTTTCGTCTGTCGCTGTCCTATCCTTCCTTTCTTGATCCTTCTTCGTCGTTCCTCCTTAGCTATTTCTTTTCCCTTATGCCTCCTTCCTTTAGTTGTGTGTTATAAGTAACAAAAAGAAGGAAGCATGAAAACATGGGAACATGAAAACCATCGCAGGATTCGAACCTGCTGTCCAGCAAGTGCTGGACACCCCTAGGGACGGTTTGTCGTGCTGAGGCAGCACGCCCGGTTTTGCGCCGCGGGAAGGCGGTATTGAGGGAGGTGATACGGGGTGGCGTGAGGGAGGTGATGCAGGTTGGCCATTAGGTGGCGGTGTCGGGTGCACGGCGCATCTCCAGCTGTTCCGCCCACCGGAATTCGTTCCGGTAGCGTCGGCGTGTGTCGGCTGCTGTGGCGTCCAGCAAACGCAGTTCAGCGGCTAGGTCATCGGTCAGCCTGGTGGCGCGCTGGAAGGCGGTGACCACGCTGCGGCGTTCGGTCGGGGTGGTGTAGAGTGGGCGCAGGAGGTGAATGTCATCGAGGGATTTGAAGCGGGTGAGGAGGACGAAGAGAGTGGCACGCTTGATCCCTTTCGGTGGTACACTGAGGTCGACGACCCAGCACTCGCGGAATGTTCGGCCCTGTACCCAGTGGTCCGTGACAACGAACCAGTCACCGAGGCCGAAGTTGATGCGTTTGATGGCTTTGGGTGCGGTGCCGGTGTTGGTGGCGGGCATCAGGACGGTCGCAGGCTCCTTGCTGGCACGGGGTCGGAGCGCAAAAGTAGCACCGTGGCTGGCGAGGTCGTGCGAGCCCTGCAGGATCGTGGTGGGTTTGTGACCGTGGATCGGGTGTACAAGGATGGCGGCAGGGAGGTACTGTAGCCGCCGGTACGGTCCGGTGCCATCATCTGGTGGTTCTTGCTCGTCCGTTAGAAGGCCACAGGCTTCAACCTCATTGTTGTGGAACGCGCCGGCTTCAGCGCAGGCGGTATCCAGCAGGATGTAAGGGGCGCCTTCATAGTACCATGTGTCCGCCGTGGTGTGATCGAACTCGGCGTCCTTGACACGCATGGCAACAGCCTGCTCTACACGGGTGAGCGGAGCCTGTGGGGCTGTG